TGATCAGCATCACTTCAGACTCATAGAATGCGGTTGAACAGCGATTGTGCCATCACGTGGTCTCACAGATCCTTGGAGGAAATCAGATTTGTAGCTGATTATTGCCGTCTGATATTTGGGCTGAATCCAAAAGCAGTTATGTAATTTACAAACAACCAAATTTTAGTTTCAGTTGTACATCTGAAAGTCAAAACCTCTCTCTATCTTTCGTGACGAGTGAACAACGACCAAAGCAAGGTTTCCAGTAATACGGCAATATTCGGCAAATTTGAGTGTATTCCTCAGGACTAATTCAGTCGTGAGAATTTGTCATAGACCCCAAAGCGGGCAAGTAAGAAATTGGCAGTACTCTTTATGTCTTTAGGATGCTTCTGTCTAAAGGAACATGATGGGACTACGAAACCTGGTGATAGGATTGCGGGTCACCGTCCATATAATTCCTGAAAAATGGAGTCAATTGATGTTCATTCAAGCAGTAGCACCGACACTTCTTCCCTAGGCTGAGATGATAGTAGTCTTTCCCCAGCCAAATGCTTCTACCCGAGTCCAAAATCTACCAAAAAGTTACTTTCTGTCTGAACCCTTTGAACTGGATGAAGATTGCGATGGGGGGGGACATTGGCAATAGTTCACGAAGAATAACACTCCGAATGGACTGCTGATGAACCACTGTCACAAGTCTGATTGAGCGTTGAACTTGTACTCGCGACGTTACTACAAAGAAGACAAGTCTAATGAAGGACGAAGCAGTAGACTTTCAAACTTAAACAGTGAATTTTTCTGTCGTACCATCTGCCCTATGGCAAGAGGTACAAGAAACGAGGACTGACATGGAGGATGGCATAAGGTGTTTGACCAACTGTGTCAATAAATGACGAGAAACGGCATTCTTTTGCCATTGGTCAAGGGCAGCCAGGATCTGGTAAATACTGGGCAAAAGCATTGACTAATTTTCTATTTTTTTGCAACATCCATAAAAATCCTCTCATACCCAGGATCATATTCTTGTTGTTATTATGTGTTATTATAGCGAGGCAATATTTAAGACTTTTGTCCAGCTTTAGGATTGATTTATTCTTGTTAATCCGAACGCCGGCATTCGAACATAAACTTGACATGTGCAGTACCACGGTGTC